ATTGGAAGGATTCCTCTCCCTGGACCTGAAGAAGCACATGTATTCTGTGACTATCATTCCATAGTGGATGTAGCTTCCTATTATCATTACTGCTTCTTACCTATTGCTAGACAGCAGAGTACCCCAGGTTGTTTCCCAGCACATTTTTCATTGAAGAGAATGGCTGATTATATCCCAGACTCCTAAGAAGCGACTAAAGTTTGCCCTGCTAATCTTAGGCTTGGGATGGGGCCTGTGCTTATCTTCCTGAAGTGCTAAAACTGAGTCATGTGTGAGCCAGAGGCTTAGCTGAAGAAACAGGAAATTATCTGCAAAGAACAGGCAATGTGCAGAACATGTTCCCATGGCAGTAGCATTCAGCAAAGAGGTGGGAAGTAAAAGCTTTCCTTTTTGTGCCTTTCTGTCAATTTTGTAGAGCCGGGAACTTGGAGCTCGCGTTATAAGGGGAAATTTTGGGTTCTTGAATTAAGCGTGACCTCCATGCAGAGGCATTAGTAATCTTGCAGCCAGTGGCTTTGGCTGTTGGAATCTGTCAGCAGTATTTTTTTTTTTGTGTGTGTGTATGAGATTGACTGAAGCTAAGAGCTACAGGGAAAAAGTACAATAACATTTGTGAAATTCTCCTATGTTTATACTTGAACGTACTGCACAAATGTTTTAAAGAATGCCCTGAAGGCAACTGTGAACAAACACTTTTTCTATCCGATGCATCTGACCTCCACGAAACCTCTAAATGATGTAATGGGTTTTTGTTGCACCATGAAAAATGCATTTGAAATGACAGCTTAGGTATTAGTTGAGTACATGCTGCTTGTGTGGCTTTAGCTTTTGGATTTGGGGCCCTCGGAGGGCATTTGGAGGCACCTTTTTTTTTGTAGCAGAAATTTTCTAACATTTTCTTTTTGAATACTATAAAACACAATGACTTATTTTGGAGTAATGGCTGCAAGTGGGTATATGATCACTTTTTGGAACTGTAAATAGCTGCAAATTGTTTTGTAACCCTGGACGGAGAAAACAACCGAACACTTATATGTATATCAGCATTTTCTGAAGAAAACTTGTTTCCTTTTTTCCTTTTTTTTTTTTGAGGTTGACCCAAAACATGAGTATTTGAACTAACTCCTGCCCTAGTTGCAAAAAGATTCACTGGCATTTCTACAAGTGGGGATGTCATTGGGTCCGTTTCCTTTAAAAAGGAAGACCACTGTCCTGCAGAGACTATCCTGTTCAAGGAGGACTTATTTTTAGATGTGCAGCGGCTTTGCAAGGCTGAGGACTCCGAGGCTTTTACATCTGCCCTGGATTTCGGAGCCTGGGTGTGCAGAATGTCGCCTGAGATGCTGCTGTTTGGAGGGTGGTGCTGGTTGTGTTTGTTGGAGCTTCCTTCTCGTGGAAGAAACTGCGGGTTCACAGCGTGGGAGCACCGGGGTGCACGGGATTCGTGGAACAGAGGGGGAAAACTTGTGAAATTTGCTGGTGTGGAGATGGAAGAGGGCGTGAGGAGAGGTTGAGCTGTGCCATTCCAGCACGTTCTCCTGGAATGGGCAAAATTCCTCCGCCCTGGAGGTGATATTGCTGCTCTTCTCTCTTCCTACCTCGTTATAAATAGCAGCTGGCCCAAACCATTGACCTTAAATTCTTTGCATGAATCCCCCGTAGCCGTGGCATGCGACACCTCCTCCCGAGGCCGTATCAGCTGCGCTCCCCCGGATAGCGACGCAGCCACTTGCCGTGGAGAAGACTGGCAGGGTAAGAATGCGAAGTTGGCATCCGGGGACATTCAAAGTTTCTTTTTTGGAATGATGGGAGCAGTTGGGAGTTGTCCCTGCTGTGCAACTTGGACCCATTTAACTTGTTTTCTGCAGCAAAGGCACCACAGGAATTAGCACAGACCCTATCAAACACGAGGGTTTTTTGGGTAAGGCTTCCAAATTTGCGGCTGAAAGACCCCCATGATCTCAACTATTTGCCCGTGAGAAACGGGTGCTGCTCCTGGTTTCCACAGCAGCTGCAGGAGCCGCTGAGCGTTGCAGAGCGGCTCATCGTGACCGCGAGCCTACAGAAATAGGGATAAAACGGAGCAAAGTCAACTTTGAGAAATTTGCAGTTTTATTAGATGACTCAAGGGCTCGGCGAGCGCGTGTGGAGCGGGGTCGGTGGTTGCCAGAGCTCTGATAATGTCACCTCATTAGGTGGCCCATCTGGGAGCCAGGGGCCTCCATCCAGTCCAGGCTGGACAGACACCCACTGTCCACCCAAGAGGAGCTCTAACCTGGTGGGGACCCATTGCCGCAGAGCTGGTGACGAGTGCGTGGCCCGGCTGGGCTCGGAGCTGCTGTTGAGTTGCTGTCCGTGATGGTTGATCCTCACGTTAACCGGTAGCGGCACCTCAGGGCTGCTCCGAAGGAGCTCACGGTTTTGTCAGTGCATTTCATATTCAGTTTCATTTTCTCCACTTCTCTATTTTAGCAGGAGGAATCTTTCAAGACCATTATCAAAGGCTGTATTATTATACTATTATTATTATTGCTAAAGAAATAAGACTTTTTCCTTCTTCTTGGACTATGTTCTTAGCCGCAGGGCAGTGGCCTCAGCTGCAGCTCGGTGCCGACCGCCGCGTGCGGATGTGGCAGGAACGGAGGGGCTGCCTTGGGTTGTGCTCCCCGAGCCCTGGGGAAACCCATCCCCATCTTCTGCTTCTTCCAAGACCAGAAGAGTAACAAAGAGGGCTTCTTTCCTTCTCCTCCTTTGCCCTTTGGGAAAGGGGCGGATTGCAGCCCGCACACCGGAGCGTTGTGTCCGTGGGGAACGTGGTGCCCTGCAGCCCGTCAGCCGCATTCCCACCCCTGCGCTGACGTTTTTATTCCTCCATTCTTGGTTCTCGCGTGTCCTGCCCTTGCGCGTCACTCCGGGCGCTGCCCCGGGAAAGCTCATCCCGGCGGAGGCTCCAGCGCAGGAGCGCGCGGCGGGAACCGAGCTCCCGGCGAGGGGTCCTGGTGCAGGGAGCTCGGACACGGCTCCGAGCTCGGACACAGCTCCATTGCTCTTCCACACGGCTCCAAATAGGCTTTTAGAGCCTATTTAAATTAATTTTAAAGTGCTGTCAAAGTAGAAATAAACCCAGACTGTGTTTTGAGGTGGGGGAGATGCAGTGGGACGAATCTGAAATTGCTGGAGCTTCAGCCGTGACTCCTCAGTGGTGCTGCCTGCCCCTTGGGAATCTCCACGCAGGTTCTCCGGAGAGCTCTGCTCTATGAGCGTGCAAGGGGCTGCTTTTTTAGTGGATTCGGTCAATTCAGTGCATTGCTAAAAGAGCTTTTGCTTTAAAACTTGCAAAGGAATAAAATCTGTGTGTGCAACAGTTTACCAAGCCGGAGGAAAGGGGAAACAAAACTGCATTTGTATCAGCAGAGGGAAGTCCCCCGCGCAACCTCTAGGCTGAGGTTAACGTCGGGTTCTGCAAGTGCAGGAAGCAACGGGACCTTTGTGTCACTTGGCTTAAAGCTGGGGGAGAAAATCAAGAACCGAAGAGACAAAATACCTCAAAAGTGAAGTTTAGATTTGCCGCCTTAGCGGGCACTGGAGTGAAGGATTTGCTCTGTGGTTCCCTGAAGCTCCGTGATGGGACTGGGACTGTCGGAGGCGACCGGCAGCCCCTGTCCTGGCCGCCCTCGTCCCAGTCCTTCCTGGGGGTGTTTTTGTGTCTCGGTGCAGTCGGTGACCATTGGGGTGTCACCCAAAACAGCTGCGAGTTGGCTGCTCTCCTCCCTCTGTCCTTCGCTCCCTCCAGAACTAGGGCAGCTAAATTTAACCTGCTATCAACAGATGAGGCTGGAGAGTTTCCACTGTGGAAACGGACCCGCCGTGGAGCCTGTCTGCTCCGCCGGCGGGGCTCCATGGGCGCCGATTCCTGCTTGTGGTGCAAAGCCGCACGGTGCCCGAGTTGGGCTCCCCGGCAATGGGGTTGTCCGCGAGCTGGGCAAGGCTAAAAGAAAAGCATTTGCAGGGAGAAACCATGAAATTAATGCAAGGTGGTGTCTGAAAGCTGCTCAGGCCACAGTTTTTCAGCTCCCTCCTGGTGCTTGCGAGGGTCTGCAAGGCCAGGGCTCTTCCCTGGGCTCCCGGAGGCTTTAGGACACATTCCCCTCTCCGGGCATAGGATTGCAGGGAGCACTTGGCCGGTGTTTTGCTAAATAAGCAATCAGGATCAGGAAAGGAAAGCGCGCCGAAGTGAAAGGCTCCGTGCCCTGCCGGCGGCTCCCAGCCACATCAGCTGTGTCATCCCCTCACAAGAGGCACGGCAGCCTGGTCATGAAAAATGCAGGACGCTGGTGGGTATTTTTAACCAGGAACCTCGCCGCTTTCTCTGGTGCGGCGCGAGAGCTGGGGCAGAAATTGCACGCGCCCTCAAGAAGGTGTTTGGCGCAGTCTCAACGCACGTGCAAGCACAGCCCAAGGGTTTGCTTTAAAATAAGCAGCACCCAAGCAACTCCAGGCAGATCTGTTTGAAAATTCCACTTTATTTTCTGTCCGTTATAAAAGCAGGGTTTTGTTTTTACATCTGTGTTAAGTGTCCCGACTTGGTACAGCTGGGTTTTATTTTCACAGTATCTCTGCAAGACCAAGGACGATTCTTATTGCTGCGCCATGGACCAGGGCTGAATGCTAAAGAGAAACCACTGTTCCTAGGCTCGGGTAACCACTGTCTTGCCCCCCAAATACCCTGGGCTCTGCGTTGCTCTGGGTGCTCTGGTGTTGGGGAGAGAGGTCGTGAGTGGAGGGTCTCAGTCGTGGCTCGTCCTGGGCCTCGCTCATCCCCATCCTGCACCCCCAAACAGGGCCCTTGGGTTGGACACAGCACCAGCACCTCGAGCTGGGGGTGATTTGGGGCTGCGAGGCGCTGGGTATCGCCCATGGGCGAGGTTGGCTGCCAGGTCCGTGGGGCAGAGGCAGAAACAACCGCACGTTGGTGCCTGATCCCCTCCCCAACGTGTCCCTGTCTGTCCCTCGGCTGCCAAGAGCCAGCAGGGAAGGAGCTTTATCTACCCCTGCTGATGGTCTCCACAGGGTACCCTGGACAACCGAGTCCCACGGGGGCCTCTAAATCCCCGGTCTAACTGTGTGGTCGTTCACCAGCCAGCTCAACAGTGGTGTCTCTAGCACTTGTCACTTCCAGCCACCATGCCTTTTATGTTCAGTCAATCTGTCCTCGTCCGTTTTGTAACGAAGCAGCATTGGAAAGGAAAAAAAAAAAAAAAAAACATCACTTTTATTCACAAAGCATGAAATCTTGAAGGAGGCAGCGCTGCCTTTCTATGCTGTGTCTGGTCACGGAGAGGGAGGGCATGTTTGGAAGGAGGCACGGGCTAAAGGCATCCTTTGGGAAGGGAAGAAGTCCATGCAAAGCTGACCCCAACGTGAAACGTGAATTTCAGATTTACTGCTCAGCTGGATCTAATCAGTGCAACCGGGCAAATTAGCTAGGAGGTTGGTATCAAATTGCATGGATGCATCCAGTCCATCAGGCTGAGGGAAGAGGGGAGAATCGCTCACTTAGTGCGCCGGGAGACTAAGTCCAACACAAAGAGAGGTGGGAAAGGACGTAGGTGTTCCCTGAATGTGATTTTTGGTGACTGAGAAGAAATCTTTCCTTGGAATTCCTTCGTGCAGCTAATTAAGACAACTGGGTCCGATTTCTTGGACCCAGGCTGACATCAGTGAGAACTGTAAGTACTCAGCACCGAAAACAAAGTGAATGCCAGCCACGAGCACCCCTTCTGCTCCCACCCGCGGGACCCCCGGGACACCCAAGCAGCAGCCACGATGCGTGTGAGTATTATCCGTTATTCCCCTGCAGCTCCAGCGTTGTCCTCTTCTGCACGTATTGCCTAGGAGCAAGTAGAGGCAAGTCCCAAGGGGCCGTGCCCGTCGAGCTGTGATTGGGATGGGAATCCACGTGAGGAGGTGGAGTGTGACGGAGAGCGCGACCGTGCAAGGCCAAGTCTCCCTAACTTCATCCGTCAGTCCCAAAGCTGGATTTGGGCTCCCTTTGGCTTGTGGATTTGGGGTGGGATGCAGTCCGGTTGTTTGCGAGCTGCTTGTAACGCTGGGCTTCCTACCTCGGGAAGGAGGAAGCAGGGAAGAGGGAGCAGGGCTTTCCCTGCCTCCGCAGCCGAGCATCCCTGGAAAAGGACCCGGAGGCGGGTGCGCTCTCCGGAATATGGGGGAATACAGTTGCCAGGACGGGGTATCCCTGTTTGCTGGTTGGAGACTCTCATGGTGGACGTATCTTCCAAGTGTCCTCAGGCAGGGGGTGATGTCGAACCTCTTGCCAACGTATGTGGCTTTGGAGGGAGAATTCCTTGCTGGTAAGATCCCGTGGGGAAGAAGGTGGTAGCGACTGCAGCTACTTGGTGTTTCTCCGAGGAGAGCCTTGGAGCTACATGTGCCGGTGGGAGCTGCTTAGGCCAGGTCTGCAGGGCCAGGCCTGGCTGCGAGGTACCGAGCGCTCTCCAGTCCAAACTCTTGAGGCCAGTCGTGAATAAGAGGAAGGATTGTTATCTTGGGGGAAGGAGCCGCGGAGGAAAGGGGAAGCGATTTGTCTGGAGCGAGCAGATCTCCTGTGCCCTGTCCTCCAGATGCCACTTCCACCCTGCGACTTCCCCTGCCTGCAAAGCTCCCGTTCCAACTGCTCTTCCGTATCCCTTGCTCTGCAGAAAGGCATCTGGTTATCTCTGAAGCCGTCTGGACAAGGACCTTGAAACCTACAGGTCCCTGCTCCAGCTGTACCTTATTTCCTGCAGCATCTTCACCCAACATCCAGGTGTTTTCCTTCTTGCACCTTCTCATGCACAGTCCTTAGCTAGGTAGGTATTTGTCCCTAGCCAGACAGGTACGGTGTCACCTATGGTCCTGTCCATGCCCCATTCGGAAAGTCAAGTAGATGATGAGATCATTTGGAGAACAAATTCTCTGTTAACCCCAACATGATCTGTTATCATAGGAAGAAGAGAGTTTTTTCATAGCTTTTTTTATAGTGTTTGCTAGAATAGATGCCTGTTATTTCCAGGCATAGCCATTCCTGAATTATGGATATAGCTGGGTAAACTCAGTAGATAAGATCTGCCCTCGCTTACAGTCTCCAATGACTTCAGAAGGATCTTGTGGCTATCCTGCTCTTCCTACAGCACCATCCTTGGGATTCCATGGGAGTGAGGGGCAACAGCAGCCTGCGTGCGAGCCGTGAGCTGTTAACACCACGAGAAAGAGAGATCGGGGGCGAGCTGGCAGCCAAACACCCTCATTTTCTCAAGACAAACACAGCGGAACAGCTTCCCTCTTGATTTATGTTGTCTCATGGGGCTTCAATTCTAGCTGCTGCCTTTGCCTATAAGATTATCCCATATTATAACGCTAATGGGAGACAGGTTAGCAAGTGGAAGCAGCACGAGCTCACTTACCACCCCTTCTGTGAAGCAGGGAGGTGGCCTAGTAGCTCCCGCTCGAGAGACATTCTGCGACAGGTTGGTTATTTGCATTGCTTTGAAACCCGGATTATTTCCATGCTCCCTTGTTCCATGCTTTAAGACCAGGAAGACCTGATTTTTTGTCGTGCTTCTTCCAATTCCATGCCTTTTTCATCTGCCTGTGACACATTGGCAACCTCCTCCTTGTTCCAAGACTTTCTCCCCGCAATCCTGTAGGAAGGACATTCTGCCTGGTGGTATTTTTGTTTCAAACGTAGCTTTAAGGCAAAAGTTTGGCAATGCAAAGCAAAGTCTACATAAGGCCGCATGACTTGGATTTGCAACTCAGAACCTTTACAGCTGAAAAAAAAAAAATCCTTATTCTTGACTTAAATAGTCAACTTTTGCTCCAGGAACTTCTGTTCTCAACTAAAAAGAATGAAAGAAAGACTCCTAAAATCCCAACTAAAATGTTCTTATTGTTCTGGGCAGTCTGGGCAAGCTGATGAGCCTGAAGTTCAAACAGGAACTAAAGTAGGGAAGAAAAAAAGCTGTAGGGATAGACACTAATGTTAGTTTTCTTCCCTTAGGAATCCAGTGATGAGACAGACCCCAGCCAAAGGTCTTCTCGTTAGCTTTAGCACAGTGAAATCCGTCCCAATGGGAGAAGGTAGAATGATTGCATTTCTGTTGAATGGAGAAAAAGTGCATTTTGATTTCGCTCCGATTATATATATATATATTCTAATACCTAAATGTTTTGTTTTCTCCCTTCTGGTGCCGGGACGCCAGGCTGCTCTTACCGGTGTTTCGGAGGTATCACCACGAGGGCTGGCCCATCCTTTGGCCGCCACATGAGTACCTGAGCATCGTTGGCATTGGGTTTGACAAGGGCACTGGGTGGTATTGGCTCGTTCTTGCTAAGGACCTGGGGCTGCTCTTGGGCAGAGGGCTCCTGCAGCTTGGCACGCTGCCCCAGGGGTCTGCTGGGGTTCACCTCTATGCCCAGCCTCATGCGCCACTTGATAGTCTGCAAGGTCACCATCTCGTTGGTGGCCGTGTTGGTTGCCACCAGCCACGTGGTGAAGCTCTGATCCCGGTGGATGCTCGTGAGTTTGGCCACGTTGCTCTCGCTCACGGGCACGGCCCACGTGACGCTCGGGTAGAAGTTGTCGTTCATGCTGATGTTGAACTTGGATTCCTTCTTGGTGGGGCCCACGATGGTGCAGGTTTCTGTGGTGTTTCCGTACCAGGGATAGTTCACTCCGTCTGAGTCACTTATGGCCTGGATTTTGCCGTCTAGTAGATCCGGAAGCTCCCAGCTCGACCTGCCACAATCAGCAACAAATTAGGGATAACACATTAATTGATGAGCTTGGCGCCATGCAGGGCTTTAAGCAACAAGATGAAACGGTTGTGAACGTGTTTCCCCTTTATATTTTTTTGGAATTGGTGGCCCTCATGCAGGCAGAAGCAGCAAACCTGGAGTGAGCCCCTGATATTGTCAGGAAAGGAGTGGAAATCAGGTTGCTCCCAAAGGCTCAGCTTGCCCATAAAAGTTCCCTGCTCCCCTGAGTGCTCCAGTTTCCCCATTCTGTTCTCATCTCCCTTCCAGTCCATAGCTGCAAACCTTTATTTGCTTTTTCTGGAGAAGCCCTGGTCCCTTTTAGCTCTCTGCAGCGCTGCAAGTGTAACCCGGCCTTCCCAGGACCAGGAAGGAACCTGCTTCAAAGGCTCCAGGGTCTGGATGATATTACAGTAATTAGAGAAACAGAGGTCAGCTACCCTCTAAAACTGCCCGAGCCAGTAGTTTGTGGGGCTGCACGCTGTGTTTGCAAGCCTGGCAAAAAGGTCAGGCTTTCTAGCAAGCCGTTAAGTGAAAATGCTCCTCCATCACCTTAAAATACTGATAAAGAAAAACTCTGGAATTTAAAAACATCAGTTTTTCATTTAATTTTCAGGATGGTCAAGGTAGCTAACTACTACTTAACTACTACATCAGATAGAAAAATGGCTAGAATTTTGCAGAGTAAAAACACCAAATAAGCTTAACCATAAACCACACCATGTGCTCAAAATGTACCAGGTATGTTAAGGGCCTTCCTTAAAAAGATCCACTATTCCCTGCATCTCTGATGGAGATCCGGGGAAAAGGGACATGTGACAACAGGTCATTTGCACCAGTTTCCCGCGTGGGGTTTTCACTGGAGCCCGTGTCGGGCTGTATACAGAGCTGAACAAACAAGCTGGGCAGTTTGCAGCTCCCTGCTGCAGACGGTGCCACGAGAAGCAGTTATCTTTGGAAATAGAGGGATTCATCTGCAGTTCATCACAGCAACTGTCAAAGTCTTTAGTAAGAGCCTGGGGTTGCAGCCTAAAACAGCCCTTTGGCTGAGCCCTTTGGTCGGCCCACGGGGGCATCGTTTGGGACAAGCTGCTTCACCCGTCGGGAGCAATATCCCTATCTCACGAGGCTGTTCTGGCTCCAAGATACCTTGCAGGACTTGGTTTTCATTATGGATTTTCCTAGCAAAAGCCTCCCCCGTGCTGCCTGCACTGGGGTGGGTGCTGGGCTAGCGGCTGCTCAACCCCACGACCTGGGACGTTAGCAGCAACCCGGGGCTTATGTAACCTCTGCGCTTCCCTCTACGGATCCACAGGCCAGCACAAAAACTGCAGCAATTCAGGGATTTTCTCCATCGAAGCTGATGGCCTGCAGGCAGAGGGAGTCCTTTCCCTGGATGAAAATGCTTGGAGACAGCCCAGAGGAAATCCCAGAGCAGCCCCTGCCCACCGCGGAGATGCCTGAAGCTGCTCGGCCCCAGCCACGGTCCTTTGGGCTCCTCAGAGAGCCAAGGGGAGGAAAGCTCCAGGGATTTGGAGCTGGGATTTTCCCTTGGAGGGCAGAGGAGCCGGGGGTCCCATCCTCCAGCCGCTGCCCGGCTCTCTGCTCCCAAACACCATATGGAGGCGGTTTCTCGGCCGCGCAGCAGATGGGTTGGGATTACGCTCCATTCAGCCAGCGCCTGAAGCTCTGATGGGGAGGAGATGGGACAACTTCCCTCTCTGTGGCGGATGTGGCGCCGAGGAGCAGAGACTCTGCGGGTGCTGAGGTGCCAAACGGGGACCGAGGAGCTACGAGAGGCTGAAACTCCACCCTGGGCTGCACCGGGAGGACAGGACGTGCAGGGATCCCAAGTGAAGATGCAAATGGGCAAAGGATTTGGATCCTTCTTCATTCCCTGTAGCCATCACCTGCTCCAGAAGGGCAGGACCTTCTCGGGCTTTGCATAAGGTTTAAATGAAAGCTGAAAGGTGTTTGGAGAGAAGCAGCTGCACCCAAAGCGTGAGGAGCAAACCCAAAGCACCCAACGCGCGTCCTGCGCGAGGAAGGCGTAGGCAGGAACAGGGAAGAAGAAACGGTTTCGTTGCAGAGCACCCTGCGCCTAATTCTAGCGCTTGCGGTTAACTGGGAGGTTTCACAACCGCTGTGCCCGTCTGCACAGCTCGGCGCTGCAAAAAGCCTCGTGAGCATCCAAGGCTGGAGCGAAGCGCTGCCCGTGCAAGGTTCTTTGTCTGCACCGTGTCCTTCAGTGAGGATGTCGAGCCGGAGAGGTGCCCGGTGGAATCTCTGCTGACCATAACAGGCTGGTGGAGAAACCCACTTCTCTGATTTCATGGGTTTGTTATAGCCCAGTGCTACAAAATCACTAGGCTGTGGCTTGTAACACTGGCGAGATTTGTTTCTGCCACCTCTGACTCCTCAGAGTCAACGCGAACATCATCTGGGCGTCACTAGAGACAGGAATTGCCAACAAACTATTTGATGTCCTCTTGCTACCGGGCGAAGGAACTTTCACCTCTACCTCATGCCGCAACAGTGGCCTTTACACGGGCCCTAGGCTCCTGATTCCCATTCTGGTGCGTTCCCTCCTATTCCGCAACAAGAAACCAAGTCTCCAGCCTCTTCCAAGCTAAAGTTAACCTTTGCAGACAGGCATCAGACACTATCGCATCCTCCGACCCTCTTCCTTAAAGCCATTGCCTAATTAGTCACAGGACGCCCGGGCTTGCATAAGCTGATGCCTGCGGCACCCTTCCCTTCCAGCAGCTCCTGGAGCGGGACGGGGTGCAGGTACCGGCGCGGCGTGCGGGCGCAAGGGGAAGCTGTCACGGGTGCTCTGCGTCACCCACTTCACCCGTCTCCCCCGGCTCAGGGGCCCGTGCTGGTGACAACCTGACACTCGGAACTGCTTAATTTCCAAATTGTCCTCTACAGCAGGACCCACCTGCATCAGCAGGACAAGCAAGTGAAGCCAGGCTCAGCGTGAGGAACGGGAGAGGAATTTCCACAGCTGTTTAGGCCAGCCTGAACCCTGCTGCTGTCATCCCAGGCTCTCCTGCCCCATCCTCCAGCTCCACAGTCCTGCTTCATCCCTCCACCTGGTGCTAGTGCTCATCTGATGCACAGCAAGACGGCTCAGGGAGCAAAATTAGCAAAAAAAAACACCTGATATTAAGAGAAAGGAAGAGGTTTCTGCTGGTTTAGCTGGGCAGGCTCACGTCAGGGCTGCGCATGCTGCTGCAGAGAGGTCTTATCTAACCTGGCTAAGGGGCACCACGGGGCGCAGATAAAGGCTGCAGGCCATGCGAGAGCAGTAAAGGCTTTTCCTCTAAATCCCAGGATTGAGATCTCTATTTTTTTTCTTATAAACTGATGTTATTTGATCCCCAGGGAAAGTATAAACTTTTTTTTTTTGTGCATCCCTTTTTGCTGCTGCTGTGCAGGGGGTTATTTTCCTGACCGCTGAGTTTCGTTACCTCCTTGCATTCCCGTTCTAGGACACGGAAGGCGTCATCTCCACCAAGACAGAGACCCCTTCTATGCAGAAAGCCGCCGTAACGCAGCCCGGTGCTCCTGTGAGCCTTGCAGGGGAGAAAACCCTACCTGCAGCTCATCGAGATTCATGGCTGCCTGCAGCCCAAGTCTGCCTTGTTTATCTCGCGCGTTTGCATATCACCATCTGCGCTGCTCCTTGCACATCTCCATGGAGATGAAGAAACAAGGCGGGATAATTCCGCTCCGGTTTTGCATCCTGCTCGCTCCCGTGCAACAGCAGCCCAGGAAGCTGCTCCCTGCCCCGAGCGCTCCAAGCAGCGGCGGCTCCGGGCGCCGCGGTCCCGCTCGGCTTCCTCCCCGAGCACACGGGGTGCAGCTCTGCTCGGGGGGAACAGCTCTAGCCACACCGGGGGCAAATGGGGGGTTTCCTCCACTTTGCATTGAAAGGGCTCAGAGAAGAGTTTCATTTCCTCACGCAGGGCTGAGCGTTTTCCATTCATTGCATCATTGCAAGAAAAACAACCCCAGCAGTGACATGCTGATTTTTCTTCCTTTTTTAAAATGCTTTCTAAATGTTTTTAGACAAAAACAACATCAACGCCACTTTAAATGTGCCTGTTGAAGTGATCCCCTCTGCAGCTAACACCCTATATGAGAGCTGTGCACAGCTCCATCTGCTCCAGTATTTCTCAGCTGCCTCTCTCCTCGGTGTAATGGTCAGCTTAGCCCCGGCTCACAACTTCAGAGCACGAAAGTGAAAAATTTAATCTAAAGCCTGCTATAAGTATTGATGCTCCGGGCGACTGGTGGCTTTTGGTTTCGTAATTTGGAGTTTGCTGTTTGCCACAGTCACTTTAATCACCACGGTGATTAAAAATATATATATATACGTTCCCCTATCCTGGCTTCATCATGGAAAGTTGGGACAAATAGTCTGTTGGCACAAATCAATGCAACTCCATGGGCAGTGGAATTACATGACTTACATGAGCTAAAAACTTGGCCCGTTCTTTCAGATGGGTTTGCGTGCTATCTCTCTCTCTATAAAAAGCTCTTCCGATGTTTCATTGACATTAAAAGAGGGCTTTCTTCCCCAACACCTTTATTTATAGCTTTCAGATGGTGACAGGTCAAAAGAAGCAGCGTGGAGAAGCAGACCCAATCTGAAATGTGTTTGGGTAACTTTTATATATATATATAGGTTAAATATGGGAGGATCTCATGGAGAAAAATCTTTCTTTTCCCATGAGCTTCTGGATAACTTCTGGAATTTTATTTCTACATTCCTGAAGTGTTTCATTCTGACTACCTGTTAACAATACTTTGCTTTTATATATAACTTTCTGTCTTGCAGTCTCAAAGCATTTCAGGGAAGGCTCTACCGAATCCTCATTTGGAAGCTCAAGCGCACAAAAGTAAGACAACGTGCTGGGATTTGCAGTGCTGCTCCACAACAGCTCCCTGCTCTGTCTTTACTCTCCTGGATGTGATCTGTATTTATATACAGGGGACTTTTCTGCTTTCCTTTGCAGCTGGCCACTAAAGACCGGATTTCTAAATGATCCTGAGAATTATACATCCAAAGCTCGAAACCCTGGAATTGGAAACATCTGAGCAACAAATTCTCCTTGCTAAAGATGATTCTGGAGCCAAAAAGCCTTCAGACTTTGAGTTCGATGTAAGTACTGTTAAAATCAAGACCAACTCGTCTGCTCCCACACAGAGCTGTGCTCGGCTGGTCCTCGCCAGGTGCTGGAGTTGGGCTCTCCAGGCATTTTCTGCTCGAGCAAAGAGTGGAGAGGGGAAACGGGGACAGGAGACGGGAACAGTCTGTCACTTCTGGCTGCTCCTTGGCGTTCCCTTCCCTGCAGCTTCCAGTTCACTCTGGGATGTGGAACCAGTGCCACCACAGGCAGAAGGCAAGGACAAAGGGCTGGGAAGCAGAGGTGCGTGTCCAGGCCCTTCAGGAAGGCTCTGCATCAATCCGAGTGCTTCCTAGCCCTGCTCGGGGTCCCCATCTCCTCCCACCTTCAGGTTAAACGTGACCCTCTCATCTCTTCCCCCCTCAATCCCAAGGCTGGGCAGCATCAGTGCCACCAAGCCAGGCGTCCACATCACACCCCAAGGTCAGGTTTGATCCCAAGGCAGGACAGACAGACGGGCCCCTGCGGTGCCACGGGAGCTGCAGGGCTGCTGCTGGGTGCAGGCATTTCGAGATCACATCTTGCTGCTGCCTTGCCCGTGGCCCAGAGCCTGCAGCGGGGTTGGCACAGGCAGCCGGCGCGGGGCGAGGGATCACTTTTAAGAGCAGGGAGGTGGCGTTTTAATGGGGCTCGCCCTTGTTCCGTTGCGACTGTCTGAGCAGCAACACTGGGTTTGGGGGGAGGTTGCAGCTCCCGGATTCCTCCTACCTTTTAGGCATACATATATATTTGTATTTTTCTACAGATGTATTTGTATTTTTCTACATACATACAGATGCATATATATACACCCATATATACACTAACTCTCCATATGTATATTTTCCCACTCTTACATTATCCAAAAGGAAAGCAATGCAATTTTTTTACCTTACTCTGGGCTGATGCAGAGGGTTTTAATTCCCAGTGGCTGCCTGCTGCTGCGGGCAGAGCACGGGGACTCATCCCGGGATGCTCCTCCAAGCTCCTGGAGCTGCAGGGCTTGCAGCTCTTGGCCAGCGGGCACTGCAGCAGCAGCACTGCACACAGGGGACAGCAAAATGCCACCAGTGTTCCCCGGGTTCCCCAGGGCTTGGAAAGGGGCAGTTTTATCCCCTAAGGGCTGCAGAAGAGCTTTGCTGAATGCAGGGGACCTGCTCTTGTGAAATGCTTAGGAGGAGAGGAGGAGCGCCCTTCGTGCAGGGCCGGCTGGGGAGGGCAGGAGCTACCAAGCTGCTGGAAAGCTTTTGGAAAATGCAGCATTACTTTTGGGTTGCTACGAGAGTGTGCTTTGGGTTGAGTACGTGACCATTAGAGGACAAGGACACCCTCTGCTTTCAAAGGTGCAGGAACAAACCTTCTGCCTTTTAAAAAAAAAAAAAAAATTAAATTAAAAACATCCTGTTAAGGTACTGAAGAGCTGCTCTTCAAATATAAATCAACGGGGGTATCAGTTTTGGCTTAATCCACTCTCCTGCCCAGCCAGGCCCTGGTTCTCCTGCTCCCTTCCCACCAGGCGCTAGCACGCGCACACTCACGCGCTCCCGGGCAATACTCACATTCCCTGCTCCCCGTAGTGATTGTAAAATTCCATATGGCTGCACGCCTGAATCCAGCCCACGATCCAGGTCTCCTTCTTGGGAAGAGGGGGCACCACCACTTGCGCGGAGGCTCGGAAGTGCGGGGTCCGGTAGCGCAGGACCACGCTGGACGACTCGTCTATGCTGGTGGGAACGGGATCGATGGAAGCTTTGACTTCAACCACTGAAATGCTTTCCCGGAAAACTTTGGATTTGCAGCTAATGCTCTGAATACAGCCCATGGCATACCCCGAGTACAGTCCGACGCAGCTCCTCGGGTACTCCAGCAATCCCGGGGAATACTAGGCATTGAACTTATCTGGTGCTAGATCAAGTATAGATCTTCTGGGTTTGCAATCGCAAAACTGATATCCATAGGATAGAAAATTCGTCATGAAAAGCCTTAATTTGAATGTCTGTCTTACAAGCACGGCTCCCGTTTTGAGGATAGCTGCATTTCACAAGCACAAGGGCCTTTCACATTTTTTTCCCCTTTCAATGACCCATTAAATCTTTTCCTCAAACAGTCTTTGGGTTAAAAAAAAAAAAAGAAAAAAAAAAAGGTCTACTGAGTTCAATAAATAACAGTGTTGTTCTTAGCTGATATATTTAGTCCTTCCTTTCCTCAGATGCAGTCTGTCATTCACCATCAAACATAGGACAAGCCGGTATTTCCCTTTATTCTTTGGATGAAAAGCAGAATGTTGATCGACACATCTATATAAATAATGAAATAGTTCTCAGCCCCAGCTTGTCACAACCGGTGTGGATTTCCACTTCCTGACTTGCAGTTGTTCATAACTTCCTTTCGCACAAAATTACAATAATACCAGAAAGAAACGGTGGGGTGGAAAAAAAAAAAAGCCAAAAAAAAGAAAAAAAGTCGGCAAAATCTCTCCGGCTTGGGAGGTTTCTCCAACAGCACTGTTAGGGCTTTGGCATGTAAATATATATATTTTTTCCCCTCGTCTCTTTTTCCCTTAGCAGGCGGCGGAGCCCTGCATGCTGGGCCGGGGGTCTGGGTGCGCGGGGCCGCTCAGCGCCGCACAATCGTCGCCTGTGACATCCCGCGCCGCTCCGCGCTCTCCTCCTCCTCCTCCTCCTCCTCCGCCGCCTCCTCCTCCTCGCCTTCCTCGCCGCGCCGCTCCGCGGCTCCGACCTCCCTCTCGGCCGCTGCGGCTCCGGGGGTCCCCGCGGGTCGCGTCCCTCCCGCGGGGCTTCAGCGCATCGCGGCGGCTCCGCGCTGCCCCTCGGCGCTGCGCGCGGGCGGCGAGCTCCGCGGAGGCGGCTGCTTCTGCTGCTGGCTTTTAATTTTCTTTTTTTTTTTTTTTTTTTTTTTTCCCCCCCCCCCTTTTTTTTTTTTTTTTTTTTTTTCTTCCTCTTCCTCCTCTTCTTCGCTAGACGCCCGCGGAGGCGAGCGGAGCAGCGCGCTCGGTCCCGCCGCCCCTCGGCTGCCGCAACGGGCCCCCCTGGCCCCCCGCGCATGCAGGCGGGGAGGGCGCGGGCCCCGGCGCTCGGCGGCCGCGGCGCTCCGGCCCCGGCATCACATCGGTACCGGGCTCCGAGGCGGCCCCAAGCCGGGACCAGGCAGCCCCCGCCCGCCGAGGCTGCTCCGATTGCCCCGGCAGCAGCGGCAGGTCCCGCTCTGCCTCCCTCCTCCTCCTCCTCCTCCTCCTCTCAGTGCCATCCCTCCCCCCCGTATTTCTCTTTTAAACTGCAGCTGTTGGAGCTAAACCTCCTCTGCGAAAAAAAAAAAAAAAAAAAAAAGGCAGCATTTCCTCCCACATATCCGTGAATTGTGGGTATTGTAGTTTTTTTAGAACTAAACCCATTTTTTTTTTTTTCTTCCTTTAAACGCAATGTGTTTTGTCTTTGGTTTGCGAATTGAGATTGTTCCCTCCTGGCTGGGGCTCTGTTGATGCATCCCCTAAAGGGATGTTCTCCTTGCTCACAAAACCCCATAGTCCAAGGCTGGGTGGTGATTCAAGCAATGGGAAGCACAAAGCTCGACAGGGTGGCCCCGGTGCTGGGGAGGAGCGGGACTAGATAGACCTTGAGTGCATCTGCAGCAGCGATGGGCTGCGGAGAAGCTGTAAACTTCTACTGCAACCACGTTTGCTAGGAGTGCAACCAGCTGTCCCGAGAGGCCATCAGCTGGCCCAGGATCTGCTCTCAAGGCATCTCAGCATGTTATGAGCTGCAGGTGATGGTGGTTTTTTTGGTAACAGCACCCCTCAACTGCTCAGCCTTTCTAGCACAAGATGTCCTGTCCCTGGCTGGGACCTCGTGTTGTTCTGGCAGCTTTGTCTCCTGCTTCCCTCCTCATCTTACTGTATCCTGGAGCAGGAAGAGCCTCCGCACTGGCGAGATGGTGAGTTTGGCTTCCTCTCTTTGCCTGCTTTAGCACTCCTGGAGCAGCACTGGGAATCCCAGGTGTTCGAGCACTGGGAAGACTTCCTTGGCCAGCAAGCTGGTGGCAGCGAGGACCCAGGACAAAGGGGTGACAAGGGGCAGAGAGCAGCAGCAGCAGTAACTCCTCTCCCATCCCAACTAGGCTTTGCATTCTCTATGCTCTTCTCTCAGCAGCAATGATCTTCCAGGCTCAGTGCTGATGCTGCCCTGGGCATTTTGCAGCCATCCTCCTAGAGCCTGTGGGGCTGCCGAGTTCAACCACCTAGGCAGAGACATCGTCTCTGCATGGGAGATTTTGGAGCAAATCAAGCAGCAGGGGTGGGGAGGGCCTGCTATATTGCCGTATTATTGTACTACACAGAAAATCTCCAAGTTTAGCCTAAATGTTTATCTGCTTCGAAATATCACAAGGTTTCTGTGAGGGCCTATTTACTGTTACTTGTCCTGCAAGAGATATCAAAACTCTAAATGTACTTGAGTTCCAAACAAGCAAATTACTATACGGCAGTACCAAAAAGATAGAAATGAGCATCCCCAAATGAAAATAAAAAAATCCAGTTGCTTCAGCAGCCTCCAGAAGGTGCTGAAATGCTGACATTTCCAAGACTCTTTCGCGCTTTTCAAACAAGCTTGTCACAGTTTCCCAGAGCATCCTGAATTTTGTGAAATGGGATGCTATGAGAGTCTGGTTTTGCTGAAACTTCAGCTAGGCCTTGCTTGAACCTGGCTCTCCATGCTGCTCTGGTCAGCTAGGAAATTGTATGAACTTATTGGAATTAAATTTGCTTTTCCTCTGGAGTTTGGACCTGCCATAGCACTGTTTTGGGTGGTTAAAGCATCAGCAAATTGCAGCCTGCAAGGGGCTGTGTTAGGCTGTGCACAGGGTGGGATTGCTGGAGTTTGGCTTTTGCGGCCAGATGGGATAAGTGGCTATCAACACTATCTGCAGATGCTGCACATGCCGATGGGCCTGACTAGCATCGCTGCCCATCTACTGTGAATATTGCCCAAATATCCCTTTTTGCTCCTAGAAAAAAAAAAAAAAAAAAAGAACTCATGGCAGCTTGCAAGCTCCTTGCTTGCAGCGCTGGCTGCCGTTCCTCTGCACCCTGGAGGCCGGGCCGAGCCGGTGTCGGGGCGAGGGGACGTGGCGGGTGTCCCTGCACGCGGGGCGGGCGCTGGCAGCTCTGCGGGCGCCGCGGCAGCTCTGCGGGCAGCGCTGGCGCGGAGCCCCGGCGCGCGGGCCCGGCCACTGCAGCGGCTCGCGCACACGCGCAGCGTGGAGCGCGCCGGGATCGCTCCGGCTGGGAGTTCTCCAAGGTGCTAAAATAACCTCTGTACGGATCGAGTTGCAGGCCCAAAATAACCCGGGCGGCTGGGCCCAGCCCGGCCACCAGCCTTTCTGCGCGGGGATTATTTTTAAACCCGCGATCTTTGCTCGCTTAGCGAGCCCGGCACATCTCTGCAGAGCCTGCGGCGTCTCTTCCCCCCACGCCAGCATCAGCACAGCGCTCCGTGCGCCGGCATTCCCAGAGCAGCACCGGGAGCGCTTCCCTCCGGAGCCCGACATCTGCAGCTCGCATTGGCGGCTCCCGCCTGCCTGTCTGCAGCAGCCCCGCGCGGCCGCCTCGCCTCCCCTGCTCGCCAATGGCACAGCAAATTGCTCTGCTCTGCAATTCCACTCGAGACACGGCAGCGAGGGCTCCCTGCGCTTGCTTCTCCACCTCCTTCCCCCGTCGCTTGTGCATTAGGCTCCTGCGTGGAGGCTGCAGAAGCTGCACACGGAAGGCCCAGATATTCCCCCGTACCTGGGAATGGCAGTGGCAGGGATGACAGGCGGCAGATTAAATTAGCTCCTCGCTCTTTCAAGGTATTTTTTCCTCAGTGAGAGCGCTGCGGGGACGTGCTCGGTGACAGCTCCGTGCCCCTCCACACAGCAGGAGCCACGAGCCTTTCTATTTTTGCAGGGTTTTGGTTACCGCTGCTCGAACCTTCTGCACACAGAGGTTTTGCTGTCGCTGGGCAGGGAAAAGTCGGCTCTAGTAAAGCTGGAGATGACACTGGTCATCTCGCCGGCCACTGTCCCGGCAGCTGAGGTTTCCCATGTGCCCTGGCCTGCAGCATGGGATAAAAGCATTGGATAAAGGCATAGGATAACCCCCACATACAAGGGTGCTGACTTTTCCCATAGCAGGAGAATGCAGCTGTCTTGACAGTGATCAAATGCAATGCAGCAGCATCCCTGTGTCCATATGTGTGTCCGGGCTGCCTCCACCCCGAACAGGAATTTGCTGCCTGAGCTGAAAGGAGTCACGAATCAGGGGACAACTAAGGAAGGATGTAGGACTGGGGCAGAGCTGCTCTTCCCCTAGCTAGGATATCATCGCAGCGTGGTCATAGATTCTCGGAGGATGTGATTCAAGAATAAGCTGACGCATGTTATTTTCCTTTGATTCATAGTGGAAGAAAACAGGAGTAAAACCGAGGAGTCAAGGCTCCTTAGTATTTCCGAGGCTAATTTGCTCAGCTAAGTGTGGGACAAATCTGTCAGGAGAAGTTTGTCGGCAAGAGAGGCACAGAGCGGACACCCAGCGCAGCTAGGGCATTTTGAGAGCTTTTGATAAAAATTGCCAAGAAGGGGAAGAATTAGCCTAGCCAAGAATCACATTTCATTTAGCACATGAGCTCTCCTCTGCATTCTGCACAGGACTTTTAAAGGAATGTAGGTGCCTGGTTCCTAATGCGGGGACAGGGGGATGGGAACTCATTAGCAGAGCAGCCTCTCTTTTAATCGAGAGGAAGATGCCGCTTCTCCTTGGGCTCGGATATGGGGTTAGCACCGGGGATGCTGTGAAGGGACCCCGAAGGGCAGGAGGGCTGGGGCTGAGGTTGAAGATAGGGACACCATGGAGAGGACAGTACAACTGAGGTGCCCCATCGGGGCATAAGATGCTGCAAAACGATAAAACTAGGGGATGCTCTCGGGCTCTGTTCCCCCCATGCGAAGCCCCCAGGGAGGCCCTGTCCCTGGGGATTTTAAAGCCAGGCTGGACACGGTGCCCTGCAGGCCACATGGGTCCATCACAGGGATGCGCAGGGACTGCTCCCTCCCCCGGCTCCGATGCTCACACAATAAAATATGAATTATGCTGCCAGGAAACTACATCTCCCAGTCTCCCTTGCAACCCCAGGGAATAAGCAATTGGAAGATTTAAATAGACCAGGCCAGAAGCAACCAACCTTTGGCACGGAGCATTTCCCTCCTCTTCTTCCAGTCTATTGGCTGCCTAACCTTTCTGCCTGGCACTGGAGTGGCTGCCAAGCCTGGCATTAATTCTCCTCCTAAGCTCTCTAGGCCCACGAAGTAAACAGCCATGTGCATTCCTCACTCTATATTTAACAGCCGCGGACGGTGCCGGGGGCAAGCGCGCCGGCGGGGAACCCTTGTGGC